GGTTTGATTATGCTAGGGATTCCGTACAGAGTCACAACACAAATTGGGTGAAGCAGAGAGTGTGGTGTTCGGGGAAATAGCCAGTGAATGATATATGGAATAGACAGTGGAGAATTGGGTTTTAAGAAACCCTAGGATTCTCAATTTCGGGGTTTATTAATTAGGGATTAAGGGTTCTGCAAATTAATTAATCAGAATATGAATTTTTAAATATTTACTAAGACATGAACCAAGTATGGGCAGTTCTGATAGCAATTGTTAGTAATCTAATAATTATGATCCTGATTTTGATTCTAACCTTCAAAACATAGACATTATCTTATAATGTTGATGTCCCTTTTAAAACACTATTGATCTTATGGTTTTCCACCTCAATAACACTTTTATTTTCCCTCTGAATTTTCTCTCTTGATGGGAATAGAAAGAAAGAAACGAGAACCGAGACTTACGTTCTATGTATATGCTTCTCAAAAGGTGACCATGACCCTTTAAATAACCAGAATTAGATTAATTAATTAAGTTTTAGTATTTCTAATTTGGTCCCTCATCAAATTAGAAATTACTTTATGGTCTCTTCATAATTTTATTTTCATGGCATATGTCATTAGCCAAAATTTTAATTTAGTCAGATCACTTTATTATTTAATTTAATAAATAATTACCTTAACACATTTAAATTATGTATTTTATATATATATATATATATATATATATATATATATATAATTGCTAACATATTAAACATAAAATAAGTTAAATCTTAACATGCCATAACCAATTAAATAAAATAAATTAAATGAAGTTCTCAATCTTATAATAAATTTGACTTATAATAAATTATTACCTTTATATATATATATATATATATATATATATATATATATATATATATATATATATATATATATATATATATATATTGTTGAAAGTCTCACATCGCCTACCTCATATCATTTTGTATGGTTTAAATACATGTTAAGTTACTCCACATATTGCCAATTGGTTTTATGTTAGAACCTTAACATGGTATCAGAGTCAAAGCCTAAGGAGGGTGTGTTGAAAGTCCCATATCGCCTACCTCATATCATTTGATATGATTTAAATACATGTTAGGTTGCTTGGTCCATTTAAATTATGTATTATATATACATTATTGCTAACATATTAAACATATAAAATAAGTTAAATCTTAACATGTCATAATCAATCAAATAAAATAAATTAAATGACGTTCTCAACGTTATAATAAATTGTTACCTTTTATATATATATATATATATATATTATTTAGAATTTTAAATATATTTAATATTAATATATAATATATTTTTATTTTATTATTTAAAAAATATTTTCTTTACCTTGACTCTTTTATTTAATATATAGTTGATAATAAAAGAATTTTTTTATATCTTTAAATATTATGTAATATTTATATCAATTGTTAATTCTATTTCATAGATTGAATTATCGAACAATACCAATATTAAATGATAATTATGTTTAACACATCAAAATATTATATACTAATCGATAACTATACGTTGCACATCGACATATCATATAATATGATATTGATACTAATTATTTCGTGGAAGTTAGATGGATCAAATTACTATTAAATTGTAACACTTATACTTAAATAGAAAAAGTTTTGTGTTGAACATCAATTATAACTTTGGCCTAACAATAAGTGCATTAAGCTTCCTTTACTTGAATTTCTTTAATTTCTAAATAAATCGTAGACTATGATCAGAGGACGAATTAAGGATGTTTTAACTTATTTCCAAAAAATTTGATACTACATATAATAAAGATTTTTTTTTCACAAGCATATATTGATCAATATATTTTTTCATCAAGTGAATTAAGGATGTTTAAATAAAGATTTTGGTTTTTCATCAAGTTATTGAATTGTTAATATATTTTAATAATATATTATTTTATCTTCTTAAGAGTAATAATTAATATCCATCAATAAATAAATAAACACGAACTCAATCCGCATAATAATTAAAAAAATAATAATCTTTAGCACACTATGTGATTAATATACTCTTTGTCATATTCTCTTTCTTTAATTTTAGTTCATAAAAAATAAAATAAAATATATAAATAATATATCTCATGTAAAAAGTTTAATTATTATAAATTTTAATTGGATATATAATTTTCTTTTTAATTATATTCTTATTTTTAATTGTATTTTTTTTATAATTATTATAAGTGATTTCGGTGAAAAAGAAAAGATAAATACTATTAAAACATTAATAAATTTAATATAAATCATGAAAATTAATATTTTTCTCGATATATATATCCAAATTTTAAATAACACATATTAAGTAAAGTGAGAAGTGGAAGTGGCTTATAATATAAATAATTGACTACATTAAATAAGTTTGACCCATTCAAACAATAAAGTTAATATTATATTATTAATTAATGTATGAAGTATTAGGCCTGGTCAAATAATTAATACTCATCGACGGTTGCTATTGTTTGTAAATTAGAACTCTTTTTATAAGAATGTTTATTGAAATATTTGAGTAAAATAATATTTCATTGAAAAAAAAAATCTTAGATGATGATAAATTTTTAAAATTTGTTTAATAGCATCTTTAAAAAAATTGTTTCAAAATAAAATATTATAATAAATTATTTTATGACATTTCTAAAGATAGTTTCTATGAGAATTATTTAAGAATAAACTATTATTTTAGTATATATAAAGTTGTTTAAATTTGATACAGTTTTTTTATATACAAAAAATTCTAATGTTTTTTAGAAATGCTTAAATAACTTAATTTTAATATTAGTGCAATACTTAATATCCGTAATGTAGTATTTATAAAAGTAAGCATAAAATATATTTCATATAATATGAACTACTTCATTTAGTATTAAATATAATATATGTTTAATACTGTGTCCAATGTAGTATATATTGTTAAATAAAAATAATATTATTACATTTAAAATTGAGTCATATATTAATATATTTAGAATTATATATGAATTAATTGCTTAATATTAATCTGCAACAGTCTTCCTGCATATTTTATTTAATATAATTATACAAACAAATTTTAATATGTTAACTATAATATTGCTTAAGTATGAAATATATATATATATATATATATATATATATATATATAAGTATAAAATTATGGAAGGTATTAAATATATGTTATTAACTAATATTTAATAACATAAATACTACATTAAATATTATATTTATTATACATTAAATATAGCATTTATTAAATATTAATTATTTTAGATAGTCAAACTATTACACTGTATGAAGTTGTATTTATGAAAACATATTATTAAATTAGTAGTATTAAACTAATATTATTAATGTTGTATTTAATGCTACTGATCATTCTATTATAAAATATTAATGAGTATTTATTAAATATATATATATATATATATATATATATATATATTAAAATATTAACACTCTTATTAAAAACTCAATGTTTGGTTAATCATGTTATTAATAACTTCATCAGTTAATCTTATGTCATCAACTAGTATGGATAGTAAGGAATTAAAAGCATAATTTATTAAAATAAATTACATGTAATTGTTTATTTAAAATTTTATTTTATTTTGAGAATTCACCACAATGTATTGTTGTTTTGGTAATAAAAAAACTGTTTTAAGTTTTTTTTCTCTTAAAAAAACTAAATCAATAAATAATTTAATTAAAAACTAAAAAAAAAAGAAATATATAGTAAATATTGAAATTATGATTTAAAGTGGGAGTTTTTCTTTGGTACCTTTGCTTTCGAATAATGTTGCTGAGTTTTCCAAATTTCATCAAATTGTTTTGGAAAAGAACTTTGTATTTACATTTACATTAAGTGATATTTAAATTCAATGTAAATATAAATATAAATTATAAAATTATTTATTTCATTTTAATCTTTGTTGGTGAATTCTTCAATTTTCCAAATCTCACAACACATTTTAGTTAAAAGTTAATGCAAATTTGTCTCATTTTACTTTTAGTGAAAATGTTTCAATTATATTTATATTGATAAAGAAAATATAATACTAGTAACAAGTCTATATGGATATCATTAATATTAAGTTTAATATTAATATACACAGTGTAAAATTATCATTTAATAAAATATATATTCATATAAATTTTAAATATTATTCTAAAAGTCAATTATATTATTATGCACAGTTGTATTATATGAAATTAAAATTAGATGTGGTTGTAATTATTTTGCATTATGAGCACACCATTTTTGTCTCATATTTTTAATAGTTCAATTTTAATAATAACTTGTTAAATAATATTTAATTTAGTATAAATATAAAAAATTTCAATTTATTTTATTACTTTTTATTATACAAATTAAAATATATGAAAATTACTCTTCTAAACTTTTCTATTATAAATGGATGTAAAAAATTACTTTAAAAATTATACATTTCAATTAAATTAATATTACTAAAATTAGATATCATTTAAATCACATCAAATATTATAATAAAAATTAAATATATTAAATATCATAATAAAAAAATTACAAAATTCATAAAAGAATTATATTAGAATATAAAAAAATTATTTAATTTTGAATTTATTATTTTATTTCTTAAATCCGAGTATTATAATATTATATATATATATATATATATATATATATATATATATATAAATATAAATAAGCTTTTGTCATTTTATATATATTATGACGTCGAAATAATGTTTTTACATTTATTTTTTAAACAAAAGAAATTTATTGATCATAGTTAGCTGATAAAGAACAATGAATGTTTATTACATAACTTAATAAATAATATAATTATGTCAAAAGAAAAGCAATATAAATATGGTTATCATGAAGTTCATCCATAGAGACATGAACTAGGCTTTCTTAAAGGTGCTTGTGTTTCTTCTTAGTTATTCATATTTTTTCCTTTCATGGAGGTCTTGATTTTGTTTAGCTTCATTGTAAACAACCCAGATGCTGCACTCCCTTGTCTGTGGGAAAGAGTGTTTGATATGCAGGTAACCCTAACACTGTTTCTACCATATCAGAATGAACAAGTGCAGTTTTTATCAGTTAAAAAAATTAATCATATAATTTTTCATTTGTTTGATGACAGAGAAGAGTTATCTTTTACAAGCACTATGAGACTGGAGATATAGTTTATGATTGTAGGTCACCAATCAATGTTGGAGGAGGTGTTTACTTGGAAAACTCTCCTTTATCCAGTTACATGAATGAACAGAGTCGTGCAGTTGTTCACCAGATGATAAGAGAGTATCAAGTTTCTCAAGACTCGCCTAGAGTTTATCTCTTTCGCACTGATCGTTTTGGTGAAAGACCTTTCTATCACATTATACAAGAACCAACTATTCAATGCCCATCATGCAATGTTACCATTAGAGGGCTTCCATAACTTTATCTTCTATGTAATGTAAGAATTCAATAAAAGGTGGGTTTTTTATGACTTACTTAAGCTTTGAGTTTGAATAATCATGTTATATCTCTGTCCTGTATATGAATAATGGATTTTCTGTTTGGATCTGTTCCTCAGCATGAAAAACACAAATTCCAATAAATATATATATATATATATATATATATATATATATATATATATATATATATATTATATTAGAATATTTTCAAAGAAAAGTAACATCGAGGAATTCTCACTAAATGATAAACAAACCAAACATAGAATAAAATATGATACAATTCTAAGAATTTTTTTAAAATATTAGATTTATTAATTTTTTAGTTTTTCGTATTTATTAAATGTGAGACACATCTAAATTTTAATAATAATTCTTTATTTTAAACATATCATTTATAGCATCAATATTTTATTAATATTTATCATCATCTTGTATAGTTACGTAAATCATTATATTTATTATTTTAAAAAATAAATTATTAAAAAATTATAATTTAAGATAAGATTTGATAAGATCTAATATTAAGATAAGATTTAATTTAACATATATTTACAAAAGTTGATGAAAAAATTATTTGATGATTTAATTAATTAGATATTGATGAGAAAAATAATATCTATTTTGTTGTTTTAATGAGAAGGAATCACAATTCTCACATTTAAAAACATGAATTTCAATACAAAGAGACATGGTTATTTTTCAGAAAAAGAAATATATAATTATAAAATATTTAAAAAAAATTAATATTGAATTATTCTCAGAAATAAAAGATAAATTAATCATATAAAAAAATTATGATATTATCTTTAATTCAAAATAATAAATTTGTTTACTTTTCTACAAGTTACTCAGTTTTACCATCGAAAATCAAAATATTAAGTAATTATGTCGAACATATTATATCATACATATTTTATTAATATTTATATTAATTAATTATGTCATAAACTAAAATCTTATTGACGTTACATACGTCATTATATTTATTATTTTAAAAAATAAACTATTAAAAAAACATAATTTAATTCTGTTATTAGTAAAGACATTAAGACGATGTGATAAGATCTAATCTTGAGATAATTTAAGTTTATCTATATTTATAAAAATTTGACTAAAAAAATTATTAGATAAATTACATATTTCGATATTAATAAAAAAAATATAAGTTAATTTAGAGTAAGGAACTTATGAAATGTCACAAATTTATATATATATATATATATATATATATATATATATATATTTATTTTTTTTTTTTTGTGAGCTTAATAAAAGACATGAATTTGGATAAAAAGATTCTTACTTCTTTCACAATCATGTGAAAAATAAATAAACATAATTTATTATATTGCAAGCATAATAGTTTATATTGTAAATATTTTATTAATATTTACATTACTTAATTAATTATATCATAAATTATAATAATCTTATCGTTATATACTTCATTATATATTCATTGTTTTAAAATATAAACTATTAAAAAAATATAATTTAATTATATTATTAATAAATATACTAAGACATTATGATAAGATCAAATTAAAACGATGTGATAGGATTAACATTAAGATCTAATTTAATTGACTTATATTTACAAAATTTGGAAAAAAATATATTAGGTAATTTAAACAATTAGAGACGAAAAAAATAATATATTTTGTTGTTTTAATGAGAAGAAAAGTATTAAATTTTCACAAATTTACTTTATTTGTGAGCTTTAAAAAACATGAATTTTAATAAATAAATTCTTATCTTTTTTTTTCACTATCATGTGAAAAATAAATATAAATAATTTATCAGGTCGAAGACACAATCATTTATATTATTAATATTTTATTAATATTTATATTATTTAATTAATTATTTCATAAATTATAATTACCGTAATTTTTATATGCTAAAAAAAGTCATTTAATTATGTTACGTAAAAAGAATATTAAGATGATAAATGTTTTAGTGACAAACTTCTTTATTATTATTTTTTAAAACATAACTTTCATTATAAACATTATCATATTATAAACATTATAAAAAGATTAATTTTTTTCCAACCATTTTGCCTCTTTAATCTAAATCTTAACCATTTATTTTATACATAATAATTATTAAATTAAAAAATGTAAAATTTTCCATGAAAATAATTGTGATACATTAATATATTGCTGTAGAGATTAAAGGGACAGAAAAAAAAATTCAAACTTTAATAAGGATTTGGACACCAAAATAAGAAGTATAACAAGTTTGATAATAATAATAATAATAATAATAATAATATATTTGTAAAGACTCAGGAACTGAGATGATTGAATTTGGATTATATTGTTATTATTATTATTATTTATTTATTATAATATAATATTTAAGATAAATTGTTATTTTAAATTATTAAATTAAAAAATATAATAATTCTTTTTTAAAATAAGTGAATATTTAGTTTATCTTAAAATTTAACTTTACAAAAATATTTTGAAATCATTTAACTTAAAAAAAACATAAAAATTAGTTAATCTATATAAAGATGCTAAACATTATATATAGATTTAATTTTTTTTAAGGTTTTATCAGTAATTAAAGTTATGACAAGAAAATAAGTGTGTAAGTGTTTCTTTGTTGTTTTTTTTATATATAAAAAAACTTATTTAATAATTATTTTATTAAAATAATTTTGAAATGTGAGTTCTGTTTTTGAGTTTTTGAAAATTCAAAATTCAAAATTAATAAATTGTATTTTATTTTTATTTTTATTTTTATTAATTATATTTACACATTCATTAATTAATATTTTTTCATCTTTATCATCGTTAAAGTTATGAAAATTGTTTTTTAAATTGTGTAATTACTTTTATAATTAATGTCATCTCTTTTTAATTTTTTTAAATTAAAGTTATCATGTAATTTTTTAATTTATTTTAAAATTAAATTTATAAAATTATTTTTAAAAGTTACATATAAAAATAAATAAAAAATTAAAAAATATATTTAAAAATATTTAATCTTAAAAATAATAAGAAGCTACTTCTAACATAAGTAATTATTACATAGGAATAAAACCCAAAATGTTTAACACGTTTAATTACATGTCGCATGAAGGTGTAGTAGAAAAACATAAATTGAAGGGTCCTTCGTGCATGTGACTCCTGGTTCAATCTTCAAGCTCCTTCAGTTCTCTTCTCCATTTTCAGTTTCTCAGTTTCGTCGTTAGATCTGATCTTACACTCACCAGCCAGCACATCTCGCGCCACCGTAACGGGCACTCCGGCATCGCCTTTGGTTCCATCTCTTTCTCTCTCTTCTTCTCAAGTTCCTTCTCTATCCTTTCTCTTTCTTCGCGATCTACTGAAATTTCAACTTAGATCTTTTGATTTCGTCGCAATTCTTCCTATTTGTTAGAAACCTCTCTCTTTTTGGAACCATTTCTTCATTTCAAACTCTGATATTCCCCATTTGTTTTGCCAGAAGCTGTTTATTTTAAAAAATAAAACATTTTCCCATTTTTCGTTCTGGTTTTACAGGGTTTAATGCTTTTAATTTTGCGAATTGCTTGCGATTCTACAATAATTTATCGGTCAAGATTTACACGAAATTTCGTTTTGCTTTCTTAATGCGGAATTCGGTGAATAATTGTGTGAAATTAAAAACCTTTAACTGAGTTTTCACTCTTCATCAGCTTGTGAATAAGGTTTTGCTTCTGGGGTATTATGTTTTTTGTTGATGGATTTATAATTATGCATAATGAGTTGTTATTTGAGCTTGAGTAGTTGTTTGCTTGGAAAATGTTATATATTTGTGTATTTTGTATCGAGTTTTATGCTTATGCTTTTGCTATTCTTTCTTGTCTTTTATTTGAGTTTTGTTTTACCTATTCTGCATTGGAAGTGACTAGTTAACAGAGGGTTTAGTTTTGTTTAGTTTAGGTTATTGGTTTCACTTGCTAATTGTTGTTTGAAGCTAATTGTTTGCATTATGTGTTTGTTGGTAGCAGAAATATGCCTTCTCAGAAGGTTGAAACGGGTCACCAAGACACGGTCCACGATGTTGTGATGGATTACTACGGTAAGAGACTGGCGACAGCTTCATCAGATCACACAATTAAGATAATTGGAGTTAACAACACGGCCTCTCAGCATCTAGCAACATTGACTGGTCACCAAGGACCTGTTTGGCAAGTAGCGTGGGCTCACCCGAAGTTTGGTTCGCTACTTGCATCGTGTTCCTATGATGGTCGTGTTATTGTTTGGAAGGAGGGTAACCAAAATGAATGGATTCAAGCTCATGTGTTTGATGAGCACAAATCATCTGTGAATTCTATTGCTTGGGCGCCGCACGAGTTGGGTCTCAGCTTGGCTTGTGGCTCATCTGATGGGAATATATCTATTTTGACTGCAAGAGCAGATGGTGGCTGGGACACTACAGGTATCGATCAGGCTCACCCAGTTGGTGTCACTTCTGTGTCATGGGCACCATCAATGGCCCCTGGTGCTCTTGTTGGTGCTGGGTTGCTTGATCCTGTGCAGAAGTTATGCTCTGGTGGCTGTGATAAAACTGTTAAGGTATGGAAGCTCAACAATGGACTCTGGAAGATGGACTGCTTCCCTGCTCTTCATAAGCACACGGATTGGGTTCGAGACGTTGCTTGGGCACCCAATCTAGGGCTACCTAAATCTACTATTAGTAGTGCATCGCAGGATGGTAAAGTGATTATATGGACCATGGCAAAAGAGGGTGATCAGTGGGAAGGAAAGGTTTTGAATGATTTCAAGACACCTGTTTGGAGGGTATCATGGTCACTGACAGGAAACATACTGGCTGTGGCTGATGGGAACAACAATGTAACATTGTGGAAGGAAGCAGTAGACGGGGAATGGCAACAGGTGACAACAGTGGAGCCTTAGAATGTCATTTCCAGACCTTGTTTATTAATTTGAAAATGGTTAGAATTTTCGTTTCGAAATATAGTTGACATCATATTATACAGATGATTAATTGTGCTTCATAATGCACTAGTTCCTTGATGTTTGTGATTCATTGCATATTCTGTGATTGGAAGAATGAAATTCATTAGTTGCCAGTATATATTATGACAATAACTTCTGTTATGGGAGTTGCATAAATTGTTGCATTTAATTTTGACAGCTCAATATAAATCCATCACCATTTGTGCCTAATATTCTGAGAATTTGATTTTTAACCAAGCCTGTGATAACATCATGTGATCTATGTAGGTATGGGAAAGTACTTACTGACTTTGAACACATTCAGATCTTTCTTCCAACTGTCTTGTCCTTCCATAGAACTGAGTTTTATTTATGGTACAAGAATGATTTAACTTCAGTGACAGACATAATGAGTAGTGATATAAAAAATGCACTACTAACATTCATATAATGTGTACATTGTGTGGAGGGTATTCCTATCGAACATATACTGTAATCCCTGTTCTGGCCTTTATTCTCAAAGTAATTTTACTGCAAAAACAGGTCAAAGCATTTCATATAGTGAGTAAAATAGACATCCATTCATCACTTTCTAGATTTTAAATAAACATTCACTACCATTAAAATGTATTTTTAATAGAGGGATACTCACTTCCCTTATTTTATTTAATAATGTCATTAACTAGAGTTTAATACAAAATATAAAAAATAATAATTAAAGTTTTAAAATATATTAAAAAATATAAAAAATAAAAACAGATAATTTTATTTTTTATAAATAAAATATGGGAGGTCAATGTCATTTTACTCAAAATATAAGGATGTGAGTATAATTTATTAAGATCATGAAGGAGATAAATGTCTTTTTAAAAAGTTAGTATACGAGGAAGATTTTATTAAAAACATGAACTTCTTCATATCATAAGTACACATGTTATTTTTTTCTATATTCTTTTTTCCATAATTTTAAATATCGCTATGACATTTTTAATAAATTTTTATAATTTAATAATTTAACCGTTTATATATTATTTAGATTGTGTGTGTCAAATTAGAAAATAAACAATAAATTTTAATAATTATATATTATGTTATTTTTTATGGATATAAACGAAATATCAAATAACTATAACTTTGAATTAATATAATATTTTTTTTAAAACATAATCTAGATAGAAATTTCCAATATTTAAGATAAATTATAAAAAATGTATAAAATATTATTGAAAATATTGGTGTAACTTGATCCATTTCATATAATATATATATATATATATATATATATATATATATATATATATATATATAAAATAAATTTTGTCTCTAACTTGTAAAATACACTATTTTTAGCAAAGTATTATTTAATAACGTTTACAAAGTACTATTTAAACCAATTTAACAACTAAACATAGTGTATTTTACAATCGAAAAAACGAAATATGAACAAAGTATTGAGCAAAGTTGACATGCATGCAACTAGAAACTAATATGACAGATTGGTTAATTGATATTTGAATTTTTAATATAAAACCAATATATTAAATATTTATGTTTATAATATATTAATAAAGTGTAACTACACATTTTTCTAATTTACTATATATAATTCTAAAAATATAATGTCTCCTTAATTATTTTAATAAATCTCATCCTTTTAATTATTCCTATAAAATAAAAATTTTAATTTTCTTTTAAATAAAGAATATATTTTCTATTATATTGTATTTATTTTTAAGGCATATAATTTTTATACATTATTCATATATGGTTCAGTATAAGGAACAAGAATGTCTCGATGTTATGTCTATTATGATAATATTATTAGGATTAATTCTGAGTATGAGGTATGATAGGTTGTGAAGTTCTCGTCTTTATAATTTTATGCTTAAAAGACGCTTCAATGGATTAAGAGAAGATGATATATATAAATTAGTATTAACTATTAAGTGATGTGATACTCATAAGTAGATTTGAACATATAAAAATTTAAATATTTTTTATGTATTTGATATACATACATATGTATTTTATAATTTGAATATACTACTTTTAAAATAAATTCAGAATTCTAAATAAGTTCCCCAAATTTTATTTATTTATGTTTGTGATAAATATTCAAAGATATGCACCAAACACTTTATTCCTTGAGGTCATGCTCAATGCCTATAATTTTGCAAGCATCATTCCTCTATAAAAGAATCATTAATATGTCGAAATTACATTTTATTACATTTGTCATTTTTCCAATATTCAACTTCTATATATGTTTTACTATTGGTTTCATTTTAAATATTTATTTTTGATAAATGGAATATGAACTATATATGTTTATTGAACAACAAATACAAAATTCTCTTTTGCTCATTACAATTATCTAAAAAAATGTTTGTGAAGCCACTGCATAACTTTTTCAAAAATGAAAAAATGAAGCATATACATAAAGTTTACACTGGCTGCACGTTTTTGCTTGAGTTATTTTCTCCCTTCATGAATTGGTCCCAAAACTTAACCATAGGGATTTCTGAATGTCTTCAAGAGGTTAGGAATATCATGGGCAAGCATATCTTCCACTGTTTGAATCTTTCTTCTATCCAATTTCTCAAACTTGTCAATGTTGAAACCACTCAAGGTCTCTTTGAATTGTTCAACATTTGGGAAGTCACCAGCTGGTAGATGAAACTCCCTTTGAACCTGATTACAGTTTGACATTTCAATTTTCAAACACCAATTATCATATATAACTATACGTGCATGCATGTGTGTTGTTGAATCTATTCATACCTTTGCAAATTCATCTTCCAAATTTTCAATCAGCTTTTGTTGAGCTTTTGCTTTTCCTATCATGGTTGGCATCTGCTTCTTAAGATGACTGATAATGTAAGCATGTATCACAGCATCTCGAGCTCGTTTAACAAATTCATTGATCTGCAATATATTAAAGCTTCCATAATCATGAACTAATTAATAGGAAAAAGATATATTAAATATGATGAAAATTATAAATATAAAACTCACTCTACGATCACAGGCCTTCTTAGGGATATCTTTTAGATCTGAGAGAAGATCATCTTGTTCTTTCTCAAACAGTTCATTACCAAGTGGACCACTGAGAGAATGCATACTATTGTCGTTGAAGGAACTGTCAAGAAAAATTTAAACACCAAAAAGAAATTTACAATTTTCTACAATAATCAATGAGATAAAAATGTGTAACCAAATCTAAATTACATAAGAATTAATGTGTACAGAAATGTAAGTATATGTATCTTCATGACATGTCAAAATTGCTAAAAAAATAGAAAATGTAAAAGAAGAAAACTTTTTAAGATCCGTAAGGGAGTGCATGTACATATTATATATATAAAGTGATGACCTACCCAATATATACACGCATGACTTCAGGAACATTCAACACCTTCCCAAGTGACCACATTAATGCACCATAGATTCTCATTAGCTGCAACATTGGATCAAACAAATATATGGGTCAAATTTTTGGCATTAATGAAAGTGAAATATTAGTAAGATCTGTGTGTTTGCTTATTACTTGTTGAGTATCAACTTGGTCTGCTTTGTTTAAGACCACTCGAATCTTGTCATCATGTCCCCGAAGGGATGATATCACACGCTTGAACTCGTCGCTAACATCAAGTTTGTGAGGATCAAACAGAAGAAGAATGAGATCACATTTAGCAGCAAACCATGCTGTCACACCTGTGAAATCATATTGTCTGTGTGTTCTTTGTTTTTCTCCAGATAAAACACCAGGGCTATCAACAAATGTAATGTGATCCAATAACTGAGAACAAAAGATGATGCAAAAGGAGAGAGATAATAAGCTCCAAATGCTACAAGAAAACCTCTTGATTTTGCTCTAATTAATTAGGTGTGACAGATTCTTACAGGATGAGGCATTTGAGAACATTCAAATTTGGACAAAAATGACGTGCCAAATGAAGTAAGACCACTAAATGGCATGTCTGCTTGAACAGCAACAGTATTGCCAGGAATGCTTCTTTCATCTGGTCCAGACTATGTAAATACAACTACCATTATAACTCTTCAAAAATAATGCAATAAATATAATATCAAGTAGTTTAGAGAATATGAGCTCCTATCAGTTGTTGACACATACCATGACAACAACAAACCTATCAGTTGTTGGCTCTGGTCCAATATGAGCTCCTAATGCAATTGGTGAGGAAAAGAAATCAGTAACATAAAACATAACTAGTGTGAGCAATCTCACATACATGTACTATATTGGAGAATCACTTGCCTGGATAACTGCTCCTAAGCATATGTTTAATAAATGTTGTTTTTCCAGTTGAGTATTGACCCAAAAGTAGAATCATAGGTTTGGCATCAAAGTCACTATTTGTCTGTAATGGGTGAAGAATAATAATCAATAGAAAACATAGTTGTGTGTGTGTGTATATATATATATATATATATATCCTTCTCCATGTATAAAACTTTCTTAAACAAAACAAAAGAGAATCACCTACTAACCAATAAAGGAGATACAAAATCGTTGTATCGGTAAGCAACTTCTAAAGGCTTCAACTTTTGAAGGTAAAGTCTCTTCAAACCATCTACAATTGATGTCACTGAAGAAGCAGGCACCTATGAACATACACAAGAAAAATATATCAACATTTTATATATAGTTACTTTTTCATTCCCATCTTTTTTTTTTTAATGTCACTGTTAAAATGAGTTATTTATTATAGAGTGATTAGACTAGAAACTGAAGGGTAAAAAATACAAATAATTCTCATTTGATCCCTCTTATCTTACACATATATAAAAATACAAGAAGAATAAAGAAAGAAAAAGCACAATTTGCTAGTCTAGACTAAGATATTTACAGTTTCATGTTGTTATAAAAATCTTTTCTTCAATGTTCCTTAAACAAAACCTTTTGTTCAATGTCAAGAACATTATAGTATCACTAACTTCAATGTTATACAATTATATATATATCCCTTGCTTTTCTAGTCAAACATTCAAACTTGCAGTAACTATCAAAGTAACAAAATGCTTTCAAATCATGCTAATTCTAAACGGCTAGAATGAAGTAACTACCAGCAACAAAATGCTTACCTTTTTTGTTGACTTTGAGCTAAACCAAGAACTTGCAGGTGATGGCTGAGAAGGACTAACTGCATGACTATATCAGTGAGTGAAATCGAAAATTCAAGATAAAAAACAAAGAAATAAAAAGGGCAACAAGTAATGTGAATGAATGCCCTTAGTCATTAACTTAGTATACATTACCAGTCAAATCTTTATCTTTCTGTTTGCGTCTTCTCTTCTGCACAAAGAAAGCCATGTTATGATAAGTCATTTCACCTAATCAATATATTGCATCAGCAAAAAAAAAAAAAAAAAGAATACTTACTGCAAGTACTGCCTCCAAACCTTCCATTGTGGGTGGTTTTATATTTCTCACAGCTGAAATCAAAGTCAATCATATGTTAGCAGACAATGTACTGTCAAATCAAAGGATTGAAAAAATAAACAAAAGTTACCATCACTATTTAGTAGATCATGTGATATTGTGTATCCACATTGTGCCATGGAGATGGCCTATCATTCAAATGGGTTAGGTTTTGGACATTGGTAAACATTAAGCTTCAAAAACATATTTTTTCTCGAGAAAAGAATTGTTTTTCTACCTTCATAGCAGTCACAAATTCTTTGAAACCAAGATATCCTTCTCGTTTTGAATCTGCAATGGCCCATACCTTATTTTGGTAAAAGGGAGCAACGAAAAAACAAGTTAGTTAATGAAGAAAGAAATATATCAAAAGAGAGATAAAAAAAAAAAAAAATAAATATATATATATATATATATATATATATATATATATATATATATATATATATCAAATAAAAAACTCATCTTTTATTTTATACATATCTAATGGGGCAAATGGTATCTTGGTCAAGTAGATAAATTTGAAAGATTTTAAAAGAACAGAACTTTCTCTATATGGAGAGATACTTCATGTGATGTTCTCTAATTATATTTAAGTTTCATAGGAGTCTGTAAAAACTTTCAATATTCATAATCATAATGATCAAAATCACTCGGTGCATTTCAATGAGATTGTTTCAAATTTGAATCCATATAATATTTTTATTCAATATGCAAAGTGTTTCTTTAGTTTCAACCATGCATTGTTGAGTCAATTTCCACTAGAGATCATCAGTCATGATATTAAAAATAGATTTTGTTAATTACGTAAATTATTAGTTTTGGACTAATGATATGCATCCTATTAAATATAAATAAAGCTTAAAATAAATTGAACAAGTTACGTAAAATTAAATATGCTCCACAACTATAATATAATAAGCTTTGTAACTTAGAAACAAATCCTATGATTCTAAGTACATTGAGTACTGGGTAGGGGGAAGATTAGGTCAAATGAAGAAATGATGGAATAGATACAACTATAATTTCTTCAATATAGATGATGAAAAAGTACAACAAATACATTAATTGTCCCTATCAATATCAAGTTCTTGTTCCTATGCATACAACAAATCTGTAAAATACAAAACCTGCTTTAATTCTTGTCGAGACAAGTTTGACATGGCAAAGAACTTGATCGCTTCAGTCCCAGTAAAACGACCATCCCCATCTGAAGACACCAGAAAGCACAATAATCCCATTATTTTGCATAAAACAATCATATGAACGACAATGAGGGTGGTTGATAGAAAGAATCTGAATCTAAATTCTATTGTTTTGAACATGAAGGATTGGAATGAAACCAAACCCTAAAAAACATGTGGATTTCAATTATCATATATAAAAGACAATAAAGATTGAAAATTTGTTGAGATGACAACCTGCATCTGCATAATTGAACCACTCTTCGTAAAGGGTTTGATACTCCTTGAAACCTGAATCGTATGGTACTATCTCAAGTTCCATGGTGAGAATAATGTAGAAAGTTGAATTTGTTTTCCCTTCACGATGTTGGGAGAGATGAAAAGAGGGGTCCGAGATGCATGCAGAGGGTTGGTTACGTAAAAGGGGTTGCAATGAAGGTGTTCTTGCAAACCATAGATAACACAAATTTGGTGCTTTATATTGTAAATGTTGATGTCGAATGGTAAGAGACGTGTTGAGAACATGGAACTACAATTTCCATTAATAACTTCATATCAACACGTTTAAATGAGGAAGTTTTCTTAAAATTAGTTATGGAAGGAAGGGGTCGGCAAAATTATCAACTCATCATTTCATGTGAATTGATTTAATTTCCAATCAATTCAAGCACCTAAAAATAGTTTATCGTTTTATTTTCGTGTCTCGATCACATTCAAGGTTTCTACTAATTTTTTCTTTTTCTTTGAGGTGTTATACAAGTTAAATAGAGGGTTGAGGGAAAAAATCCACATGAATATTTAAATTTATTTATATGCTCTCTGTTTATTTTTCTTTAGTTTTTAATTTTATACTTAAAGTGATAGTAGTGATATATTAACATTTATTATTGGGCGAGTAAAACACGCACGGAATACCATCCCAATAATAAAAAGTTTTAAAAATAAAATTATCTAATAACATCATATATTTGTATGGGAATTCTTTTTAGATGATAATTCATTTTTATAAAAAATTTAAAACATTTTATGATAAAATATATTATTTTGTTATGAGATAAATACTTAAACTTGGCTAATTAGGTAGGGAATTTCAAATTATACCGTGTTTAATGCTTGTACTCGTAGTCGAACTTCGATTTTGACGTGATGATTTGTTTAAGTTAACTTCTGTATGTTCAAGCCGATATATTAAATTTTTTTAAGAAACTATATTTTTAATAATATATTTTATTAATAAAAATATAATGATATGATATTTAAAGGTGTACTTAAAAAGTATTCTTATTTCACAATAAAGAAATTTATGTTTCTGAGAGAATTTTTTTATTTAATTTAAATTACTGTATAATAGATTAATTAATTTTATAAACTTGTTTAGTCTCTTAATGTATATTTAGTTTGATGGTTGAAATCCTATAACACGTTTTGAAAGTGGAAAAATTGAAAATTATATAAATCAATTTGAACTTCAATATGAATCAATTGGATGTATGAGAGATTCTAGTATAAGGGTGTGGGAGGCGCATGGTAACGAAGTTATTGATTGCATTTATAATATGACCTTTTAACAAACTAGTTGCAGTCATAAAACTAAGCATGATTCAAGTGAATTCTTAATTTGTGTTGAGTGGAAAATGGTAAACATTATAAGTGACACCTTTTATTTACAAAACTAATTCATGTATTACCTCTGATAGTATTCTTCTTCCTGTTAATTTTTGTTTAAAGAAATTGTCTTCAAGCATAGAAGGACTACTAGAATAATCCGAATCGTTTCCTTCATTTCTTCAATGATTTTAATTGCTATTGTTTAGATTGTTCTTAATAAACAATGTGTCCAAGACAGTAGAGAATGAAGAAATTTCATTAAAACAAATCAATTAAAATTGCATGTCTTAAGTCTTAACATGACATCTAGCTACATTTTTCAAATTCTAAAGTATAGTCTATCAATTGGATATTATCATAGGAAAATGTTTGTGATAGTTTTTCTGTCTACTACTGATAGATTCTACCTATATAATATTAATAGACCTGTCCTTGTATTATTCTCTTCCCTGCTAGTGGGAGATGCCCAAAACTACCCAAATGATTGTCAAACCAAATGCTTGTTGAACGATTATGCAAATTTGTTATAGTCAAAGGCATAAACCCCTTCTTTTACTGGTACATATACCAAGTAAAGAATAAAGTATGACCTCGAACTAACCTTGTCACTGGAAATAGTTTCATATGAAATACACCAATAACACTTGTTAAGAAAGCAACTTTGTATGTTTTGTCAAATACATGTGTGGAATTATAACAACTCGGCATTTAACCATCTACAGCGCAGGGTTTATGTCAGAGGAGCCAAATTCACACATATGTACCAGATATAAAATAAGATAAGTTGTGTTAGAATCAACAAGAAGATCTACTCGATCCCATGTAGCTCATATTGCTTTCTTCTAGTTCATGAAGTAATTGAAGAGTGAGGATCTCTCTGGGTATGACTTATTCAGCTTGGTCTTCAGATCTACATCTCTTATCTTCTCTAGGAGCTCATTCAACTAAGAAATCTTAGAATGGAAAGATTAATGGACAATTGTCAAGAATATTATGCAAAAATGGTGACTAATTAATCATGAGCGTTGAAAATCAAAATGCGACTGTAATCAATTATGTAACTCCCAGGCCAGAAGATACTGTCATATTATCTACTTTCAAAGTATCCTCTAAAATATCAAAACAGCTCAAACTAATCAACATCATTCTTCAAAGCACAGAATACTCAATGGATCACAAACGTCAAGGAACTAGTGCATTATGAAGCACAAATACACAATTAATCAACTGTATAATATGCAAAGGAACAAGATGTCAACTATATTTCTGAACGAAAATTCTAACCATTTTCAAATTAATAAACAAGGAATGAAAAATCACATTCTACGGCTCCACTGTTGTCACCTGTTGCCATTCCCCATCTACTGCTTCCTTCCACAATGTCACATTGTTGTTCCCATCAGCCACAGCCAGTATGTTTCCTGTCAGTGACCATGAGACCCTCCAAACAGGAGTCTTGAAATCATTCAAAACCTTGCCTTCCCACTGATCCCCCTCTTTCGCCACGGTCCATATAATCACTTTACCATCCTGCGATGCACTAGCAATGGTAGATTTAGGAAGTCCTAAATTGGGGGCCCAAGCAACGTCTCGAACCCAATCTGTATGCATATGAAGAGCAGGGAAGCAGTCCATCTTCCACAGTCCATTGTTGAGCTTCCATACCTTAACAGTATTATCACACCCACCAGAGCAAAGCTTCTGTACAGGATCAAGCAACCCAGCACCGACAAGGGCACCAGGTGCCATTGAGGGTGCCCATGACACTGAAGTGACACCAACTGGATGAGCTTGATCAATCCTTGCAGTGTCCCAGCCACCGTCTGCTCTAGCAGTGAAAACAGATATATTCCCATCAGACGAGCCACAAGCCAGGCAGAGACCTAACTCATGTGGTGCCCAAGCAACTGAATTCACAGATGACTTGTGCTCATCAAACACATGAGCTTGAGTCCATTCATTTGGGTTACCCTCCTTCCAAAGTATGACTCGCCCATCATAGGAACACGACGCAAGTAGAGAACCAAACTTGGGGTGAGCCCACGCCACTTGCCAAACAGGTCCTTCGTGACCAGTCAGGGTTGCTAGATGCTGAGAGGCTGTGTTGCTCACCCCAATTATCTTAATTGTGTGATCTGATGAAGCTGTGGCCAGTCTCTTACCATAGTAATCCATTGCTACATCATGAACCGTGTCTTGATGACCTGTTTCAACCTTCTGGGAAGGCATGTTTTCTGCTACAAACACACAACATGCAAAAGTTAGTTTTGAACAATCATTTGCAAATGAAATTTACTAATCTAAAATAAACAACAAAACTAATTCAACCCCCAGTTAGCAATGAAGGATCAACAAAAGCATAAGCATAAGATTCAATACATATACAAAAATATAAAATATTTTCTACGTAAACAACAACTACTATAGCTTCAAAAAACCAAGTCACTTAACATAACTAATTATGAATCTGTTAGGTCTTAAGAACCAGAGGTGAATTTAACCCAAAAGACTAGTCCATTAGGAAGAGTCTCAAAGCTTAAGCACGACATCAAATCAACATTCATACCACAGCTACTTTCAAACTCTATAGACAGCAACCCCATGGTGACTCTTTCCCATTGATGATTTCATCCAGCTATCAGTACTTTGTTTACATTTAAATCCAGCCTATAGGTAGTCATTTTCATAGCCCCACTATCAATGAAGGCACCAATGTTATGGTCTTAGATCTCCGCTTCGAGATCAGATTAATCTTCAATAATAAAAGGTAGAAATGGAAATAGACAATTGTCTTCTTGTATTTTACTAGTGCAATACAATGGTTACATATAGCAGTGATATGTAAACCTGCTAATGCACGTACTGCTGCAAGCACACACAACCCTAAGAAACTCATTCTATAGCATATTGCTTATTATTATATTCTATTTTCAATAAAAGACTCTAATAACACTTCCTTTGGACCTGCTAGTAAGAGTTGGACAGTAACATAATCCGTCAACAAAAATCTATTACCCAAAAAATAACTAAAACCCTGTTCACAAGACGGTGAAAAACTGAAAACTCAGAAAAAAACAATTAAGATTTATACAAAATTTTTAACCGATCTGGCATCAAAGATGTGAACGACAATTCGTGTGAACCATGATCGGTAAATGATCACATAATCGCAATCAATTTGCAAAATCAAAACCACCAAACCCCAGAAACCAAAGAACAGAATGGAAGAAAGAAAAAACAGCATCAGGTGAACATAATTGGGGAAAATCACGCAACGTAGTTTAACTTGGGATATGGTCCCCAAAAGAGAGAGCTGAACAAGAAGATCGTGAAAGGGGACGAAATCTGAAGATCTAAGTTGAAATTTCAACAGATCGAGAGTTAGGAAAGAGAAGGAACCTGAGAAGAAAAGAGATAAAGCGAGGGGTCAAAACGCGGTTGCCGGAGCTATCGTTGACGGTGGTGCGAGGTGAGTGTAAGATGGGATCCGACGAACTGGAAATGAATGAGAAAAGAGAAAACCATAATAAAGTGTTGTGCTTTCGTTCTTCCTTTTTTATTGGGCTTTCACCGCCATAATATTTTGGGCCTTGAGGCCCAACTAAGCTAACCCAACACTTAAATCAGATTAGTTCTTTCACAAAACGAAAAAGACCAATAAACAATTATCTTTTGCTGAAATCCTCTAAAAAATTAGGGTTTTCAAAAGTTAAACCTAATGTGTTACTTCTAATTTGCAACAACATTTTCTGTGAAAGAAATGGGTTCAAAATCTTCAAAAATGGTGAATTATAGTGCATGGAATCACCAGGTGTTGATTCTGTGATATTTATTTCACTGAAAAAATAATATTAATTGTTTTTATTTCATTTTTATTTGATTATAGTATAAAATATAAAAATGGAATAGATTCAAATTTTACATTCCATTCTATTCTTGTTTGTCTGAACCAAAATAGACTCAGAAATTAAATTACTCATAATTTTTAATAATTTTAATTTTTTTACCAAAATAGTATATTTTGTCATAAAGTATTTTTAGTTCTCTATAAAAATGAATTATCTTTAAAAAAATTCATTCAAACATAGTGATAAGACTTTCATATATATATATATATATATATATATATATATATATATATATATTATTAAAAATATTTTTAAAAGATATTAACATGTTATTTGATAATTTTGTTTCAGTAATTTTTATTGGGAAGAAATCCAGTGTTAATAAAAAATATTAAAAAGATAATGTCACAATAATAAGTCTTCAAAATATATTATTAATGTTTTTCTAAGTATAAAATTCAATTGTTAAGAAAATATACAAAATTAAAAAACTAATTAAGAAAAATAAACAAAGAGTATATGAATATATTTTTAAAACTTATATATATATATATATATATATATATATATATATATTTACCTTCAACCCTCTATTGGTACTTATTTATTTCATACCTTGTGTATTATCTAATAATGTTTTGAGTCAGTCATCGGATTGAAGGAAAGAGAAGTTTTTTTTTTCAATGAAATATTAGATAATGTAATGACTCATGTTTTTAGTAATTTTATTGTTTAGATAATTGATTTTATAAAATTAAGTTAATTTAAATTTATTTTTAAAAATGATAATATAAAGCCTACTTTAATATCTGCTAAAAAGTTCATATCAATAAAAATATAATCAAATTATAATATATAAATAGATATAAATTTTAGTTTATAAGTTAAATATGTAGGATTGATTTAGCTGTTAAAAGAATTAAAATTGTGCAAAAATAATTAGACTTTCTTAAAGATTGAGTTTTTAAGATCTTCCTCCATAATTTTTAATGGGTATTTCTTGATTCCTTAATCACAAATCAATGCTTATAAAAAATAATTTGAATGATTGAAATTTTCTTTAATATGAAACAAATGAGTTGGGATTGGTTGTAGAATTTTATTATGTAGTCCATTAGTTAATTTTTAACATAAAGCTTAATAATATTATTATTGGAAAATCCAAATATGATGTTTAGTTTCACATCTTGTAAGAAAGAAGAAGTTAAACAACGTATGAAAAAAGAAAAATCTATAATCTAATGTGTTTTTTTTTATTGAGAATGATATCACTATTTTATATGAATTGGATTGGTATCTTATGGAGGTTATTTCTCCTTATTAAACTTATTGAAAAAACGCAACAATGATAAGTAGTCACCATTTTATATATATAGTTACCTTGAAGATTATTTTCTTAACACTTACCAAAAAAAAAGTATTCTTGCGTAAATACATGTTCAAGACGTTGGTGGAATAAACTTATGGTTTACTTGCATACGAACAGAGGGAAACCAAAGCAAGAATAAATTACACAAACTTACGTAGAAAACCCACCAAAACAAAGGAAAGTGGTGATTACAAGAAGCAGTGGATAGAGGACTCAGAACAACAGAAGAGAAATCTATAAACCAAAATTCTTACAAAAAGAATCGGGAGCGATAGATTGATACATTATAATGAAACAAACCAAATAAAATAAGATTGTTCAAGAGATGCCTATGGTTTTCCCAAGCAACCAGAGAACTAAGGAGAGTTCAATGCCGAATATTGTGTGGAGGGTACTCCTATCCAACATGAATCCATATACTGTAATCCCTGCCCTGTTATTCTCAAAGTAATTTACTGCAAAAACAGGTCAAAGCATCGTATAATGTGAGTAAACACTATTCATGATAACCATCATATCATGATTCTATAAACAGAAACATTACTCAACAATTCGTGGACTTTACATATGTAGTAGACTACACTAGCCTCTTATTTTTCTTATATTTTAACCTTAATTAAAACCCAACTTAAAATATAATTAAAGGTTTAGAGATAGTGTAGGTTACGTGTTGTCGAATAAACTAATTAAGTAATATAATATATGAGTGTTTAATGGGTTGGTCTTCCTTATTATAAACTAATTAAAGTGTTGCAGTCAACGCGTTAACAGGTCACACAATATGTCATTTTATGTTGGATGTTCTTAATTTGATCGAAAGCCTTCTATTTAGTAATCTACGTTTTTGTGTGTTTAATGTTAGTTTGGATAAAACTTTAAGAAGACTACTAGCTCTTCTTTGTCTAATATTTTTTTTCTAATTTTGGTAAAAATATATTGAAAAGAGAAATTTTCATAGCCCTCTATTTGGATGTAAAGTGATGAGGTTTATAAAAGAATTGTGATTTTAATAAATTTCAACGAACAAATAAAAAAAAATATTACTAAACAATTTTAATATACTCTTCTATATATAGATACACTTTTGGTATTGATTTCAGTAGAATTGAAAATTTATCTTAACAATTTTATGTTATTTTGAATGTAAACTTTTATTATAAGAATGATCAATATATAGCTCTAATTTTAACTAGAAAATGATAACAAAAATACCTAAAGTACTACATCTAAATTTTATTCTTCTATAGGTTCATACTTCAAAGGTGAATTCTTACTTAGCTTCTAAATAACATGTAGAAAACATAAAGTGTGAGAAATGAAGTTACCAAGAGCTTGTCTCTTCTGATATGAGACGGTGCTGTAAGCATAAGATGGGATGAACTTTGTAGTATCAATTTCATCTTCTTCATCCCCTGTCTCTGATTCTCCATCTGTTCCCACATTAGGAAACACTGATTCATGGGAACTCTGAGGAGCCATTGGGGTCTCACCATCTGTCAGCACTCCATCAAAAGAATCCAACGTCGCACACACATGCCACTTGGCAGCAAGGCCTGTGATCGCTTGTGCTTTGTGTGTTATCTTTGTGGCACTACGCAACAATATGCACAGCGCAGAGAGGAGCGTCAATGAGCATAACTGGTCAAGAATAAAACTCTTAAGAAGTCAGTTTTTTTTCTTAATAAGTTTTTTTGGTAGTAATTATAAAAAATTAAACTGATTATTTATAATGAATTCTTTCTCACTTATCATGCTTTTTCACTACAATGCTCGAACACGACATCTTATTCTCGGTGATCAAGTTTCACTTGGTAACCATATGTTATAAATGTTTTGGTCCAATTTGGTTTCCCTGATAGGGTCGAAACTGAATGTTTTGGTCCCTTCTTTTTCAGCCTTATTTTATGAACTAGATATATGAAGGAACAAGGAATCAATAATATGGTGATGACTAACTTTACCAAAGGATCATGGAGAAAGACACAAATCCATCAAATTGGACACGTCTTCGTCACACTTCAAATTATTTCGATCATATAATTTTCTATTTATGGAACTTGATCAAATTCCGTATGTCCAGCTAAGAGGTAGACACGTACATGTGTAAGTTTATAAAACTATTAAAAGAAACATAATAAACAAAACAAAATAAAAGATCAATGGCATCCTTAAATTTGTAATTTGATGCTTAAATCTGTGAGAACGGTGATGTCTTGAAAATTTTTATTTTATTTCTGAACAATAAAAAAAAATATAAAATTAGTCTCTGAATATTATAGTTTAATAATAAAATAATATTTTGTATGTTAAAACTAAAAATTACTATTTTGATGATAAAATATGTCTTGTCTATTTAAAATTCAATTTGATCAATCCAACCAAGTAAATTATTATTTTGTTTTCAAAGAAAAGAGAAGGAAATGGACATACCGCAAGTTCACCGGCCATGTATAAGTTCATATCACGTGTATGTTTGGTTGTGACCAGGAGGCTCGCGAACTGGCTTCCAGTGACCAATACCAGGGCCAGTAGGATGAAAGCGCGGAACCTGTGACTTATGATTCGCAGGTGCCTTCTGATCCTAAGGTGCTCTGACATCACCGACGCCACATCCGAGTCCACGTGGAAGAACCTCGCGAAGTCGTGCAGCCGTAGGATCTGGAGGTGGCAGATCAAACGGAATAGGACGCATACCAGAAAAATAACTGTGATACGGTACAGCCACGAACATAGTTCCAATATGCACGCCACTGCATCGCTCACGTACACATTCCCCAGAAATGGGATCTGTGAGGCTCCAGACGCGTACCACCATATCTTGTACGCACACTCCACCACAAAACACGGACCCACAAACACCGAAAGGATCTTCAGTGATCTCTGTATAAAGAAATATTACTTGAAATTTATCATTTGATTATTTTTTTAATCAGAAGCAAAATATACTAAAATTGTAATTAATAAATTATAATTAATTATAGAGAGAGTTCTGTAGAAGGGTGCGAAAGAGAGTTTCTCTGACATTCTTTTTGTGTGCATAGAGCATAAAGATTGATCCAATTCTTGTACAGTGTAAAAGAGATTTCAAGAGAAACTTTAATTCAGAATCAATACCATTGTTCCAGCATACTTGATTGATTTAGATGATGTATCTTCTTAGGAGTTGAGTTTGGTGGTCCGAAAGTATTATAAATTACAAAAGTTTTATAATTTTTATATAATTTATTTTGATCCAAATTTAATGATCATTTAATATATTTACTTGTATATTTACAATTTTATCCTCTCAGCTTCCTCCTCATTTTTGTAACTCTCGTATAATTTATGATTTTTTTTCCTCAAACGTAATTATCATTTAATATATTTAAGTATATATCTACAATTTTATCTTTTCAACCTTTCATATTCTTTTTTTTTATTATTTATTAATAATATATTATTTGGCCTCAAGATCAATGGTCAATATCCGTAATTAGATACTTTAATATTAAATTATCCAACCAATAGGTGATGAACATTTTAGTAAAATTTCCATCTAAAAAATCAATACAAACTGAATAAGTACTATTTCATAAAATGCCGGAATATTATATAATAATTTCTATCACTACGGTTACTATTATCTACCAAAGTTTCTAAAATATAATACAAGATTGTGTATCTTCCTTAAGCTAGAATAATTAACTTTCCAATTGTTTCCTTTTGTTAATATTAATCTAGTACATATATATTCAACTTGGGAAACTTCAGATTATAAGGTTTTAATAATAATTAAGACTAAAAGCTGGTGTTTCCCTTACTCAAATGTTAATAGGAAATCATTATTTTTCAAGCAGTCTTGATGTTAAAGTTTCACAGTTGCTGCCATAAAAAAGTTCCACAATTTCCATTAATGGCTATATTCAATATATTCTTGTGGTTGAGAAATGACGTGATTTTTTTTTTGTTACAAGAAAGAAGAGAGTGATTCTAAATTATGCAATCAATTCAAATTTCACCAAGAAGACGAAATCAAAATCACAAAATCAAGAGAGACAAGTTGCTGTTCTGTTTCCTCAACTTAGTTCTAGTAAAGATAAACATAAGTAACCCATAAGAAAACATAATGACTTATAATTAAAGAAAAATCATCATTGTAAATAACAGATAATAATTTATAAAATAGTTATACATCATTAACAAAAAAAGAAAAGAAAGAAAGTTTAGTACATAAAGATTAAAGTAGGTAGAAAACTTTACTAAAAAAACAGTGATGAGTAGCACTGATTTACATATTAATCTTTTTTCTCATATTAAATTTTACATCAAATGAAAATAATTTAGTTATTAATTTAAAAACGGCATAAAGTAGTTATCAAATTGCATCAATTTTTTTTTTGTCAAAAGTCAAATATAATAAAAATGGCATAAAATTGCCGCCATTGCATGAATTTTTTTAAGTAATACAATATATGAGTGTAAAAATTATATCAATTAAATAAAATGTGTAACGTTTTTTTTATAAACTCTAAATAATATTTTTTTAAATAGTTTCACGTAAAAAAAAATCTAAAAAAGCTAATACGGAACAAATTGTGTCTCTTACGACTTGAAAACTGAATTAAAAAAAAAAAAGTGAAATAAAAGGCTCAACAGAAATTATGGGAATAATGTTAAAACTGATCTTATTTATATTCTTACAAGAATGTACGATACATAATGTAAATAACACACTATCTAACTTATTATTTTAAAGACATATTTTATTATTCGTTAAAATTTATCAAAAATTAAAAACATATTAAATAATAAATGAGATTCATAATATATTGTAATTATTTTTAATAAATAATAAAAAGAGTACAATGACTATTCAATTTTTTTTTTAAGTCTTTAGAATGAAAAATGTACCGTAAAAGCGATTTTCTTTAAAATCGCTCAATGCAAAAGCATAGAAAGTAAATATTTCGAATCGATAAAAGAGGAATAGAAAAGTCAAGAAAAATAGCTCAGAAACTAGAATTGCAGAAAGCAACACTTAACAGAAGAAGTACGAAATAATTAACACATCTTAATTAATTTCTAATTAGTATGTGGAATTTCGTAATAATAATTAAGGATGGAGATGAGATTAGATGCCATACATTGAGCTGCGCCATGTAGTTCGTTCTCACAGTTTCGCTCTCATCGCAGAGCTTGTCGAAGAAGAGGAACCTTCGGAGACCGTATTTCCGGACGAAGCCTGCGAGGCAGAGGAAGGAGAGGGCGGCGACGGTCGTCAGAGAGACCTGCACGACGCCGTCGTAGGGCCGCGAGTGGCGTCCGTCGCAGTCCGGACACGCCAGCAGGAAGTGCGAGGTGGCGGGGACGGCGACGGCGAGGAGGAGGAAGACGGACCAGGAGAGCGTCGCCGTGAAGGCGTTGGACTGGTCGACGCACATCCAGCGCAGGTAGGAGCGGAACGTGTGGAACTCGTCGTTCACGTGCGACACGCTGCGGTTGTACTTGCCGCGGCGGTCCAAGAGCGCCGTGGCGGCGGTGACGGTGGCCGTGTCGCTCATCGGAAGTGGTGTTTTGTTCGTTTGTGGCGTTGAGAGTTGAGAGAGGAGAATTACGCAGGGGGTTTTATACTACAGATTTTGGAATCGATGCAACCACTGATAGGAAAGTAACAAGGGGAAGCATCAGAAAATACAAATTGATGTGAAAGCAGAAACAAAGGTATGGTATAAACTTTTTTCAAAACATTTTAATAACATTTTTTTATAAGTTATATTTTAGAAGAAACATAAGGTATTTGTTGTTTTTTTATGAATTGAACTGTTAAAAAAAAATAAAAAGATAATTTATGTCGAGAATGTAGGACTGAGATTTTGATAATGTATTGTATGCTTATTTCCCCTCAATCATCGGAAACAAATAAATTTTGTAGTAAAAATGTGATGAGCAACACCAGCTGGTGGTGGGACCAGCACATGGGAGGAGTAGAGTAGGAGTGAGGAGAACCAATGCATTGCACCCATTTGGATGCAAACATTGATACGTGTAAGCTGAGATTCCTTGTGTGCACAAACCATGAAATCACAACCAATAAACAAAGCAATGAAGTTGAAACTTGGATCAACCTCATTTGCAAGATTTGCCTCTATTGGAGCCATTCCATTCCCCTTCAATTTTTTATAATGTAATTGATTAGTTGCTATAGTGCCAGGTTAGAGCCGTTTTGTGATTAACAACTGGCCTGGTTTGAAAGTGGTTGTGATGACCAACACACATGATTTGGCACCTTGCATAACTTCATCAAATGCTTTTCCATTAATCTAATATGTTTATCTAGATTATTTTTAGTGGTTAGTCTTCTTTCATGTGTGTTATTAGTTAACTTTAAAGTTAATAATAGTTTTATAATCATATGAGAATAGGAAAATCTATGTATAATTGTACCCCAAAAGAAGTAATGTGGTATAGTTTAAAGATTTGTTAACAACAATTACGCATATATAATCTTTGGTTTCAAGTTTTTGGTTTTGTACTCATTCATTTAGTTAGAGATTGACTCTCAAGTTTTTCACTTAGTTTTCTTTTAATCCAAAGTTTCTCACTTGCTTTGTTTGAGAGTTGAAATGTGAGATGAATAATAAAAAATGGCATATTTTCATTATTAATTCCCTTGTTGGAGCTGAATTCATTTTTGGAAACGACAAAATTATAAATAGAGGCCCAAGTTTGAAAGTGGCATTGGCATAGCAACTCTTAGACACATTCTTTCTCCATCTTCCTACTTTCTCCTTGTACCTCTTCTCGTATTTGAAAAGACAATAATATTCTTTATGAAACTAGTAATTCATAAATGAATTTATGAGTATTTTGGATTGTAAAATCCAAAAACAAATTAGATCAATGAATCCGAATATATTGTAATATTTTGCAATCAACTTTTTTAGAATTAATTTTCTAAACTAACGTTTTTGAAAAACTTTTGAAAAGTTTAATGTAATTTTTTTTGAAAATGTGAATAAAAAACTTATTTACAATGAAGATAATATTATTTTTTAATTAAATATGAATTAAGATGATAGATGGAAAAAGAATGTACTTAATTAACTTTACTGCATTACAATCTTCAGGTAGCCCAATACCAACATAAAAGTTAATCGGCTCGTCTCACTTTTGAATAGAGGTGTCAATATGAGTTTTAACCGTGAGTCACCCGGCTCATCATGGGTTTGAGCCAGGTTGAATTCGATTTTTTTATTTCTATCGATTATGAGTTAAAAATGAACTCGGCTCACTTAACTCACGAGTTAAACGGATTCGAGCCGGGTTATGTGGGGTTGGTCCACAACCTACCATTAATTTTAAATTTTAAAAATAATTATAATAATATACTAACCATAATTAAGCATTTATTTTAAATTTTAAAAATAATTATAATATTTTACTAACTCTAATTGATGTTATCCTGTCTTACCTCTACGTTACATTATCGTTGTCGTCACAAGTCAAATCTTCACTCAAACTTATTATCAGTTATTCGCTGCACCGCTACGTTTGTCGTTGCACTTGGGTCACTTGTCTTATCATCTGTCCACCGCACCACTACACCACTGTGGCCACTGTACTGATTTCAAATGAAAGAATTTGTATCATAACCTAAATGATTAAATTGATGAATCTTTATTTGAAAACTGTAGCATCTATATATTTGTTGTTGATTTATACGTATATCTCTTTAATATATGAATTTTTGACTTCTTTCTTTCAAATTAATTTAAAGTATGAAATCTTAAACAATACATCAAAGTGTCAATGTAAATTGTGTTGGTGATGATTTTATTATTAATGCACTACAACATAAAAGACATGTAATAGTGGTTCCGCATGCTCTATAATAGCGATTAAAAACGCTATTAAATGAGGCACTAATAAAATAATGACGTTTAGATAACAGTTAACTAATTGCTATCATAAATAAGATATAATAGCTGTTAACGTGTAACTACTATGCAAAGTTGTATTTATAATAGCGGTTGGAATGATGAACCGCCCTTAAAAATGACACATGTAATAGCGGTTAAAATGACAACCGTTATCTAAAATATACTTTTAATAGCAGTTAGTTCTAGAACCGCTCTCTTTTAGTATGGTTAGATAGCGGTTATGGGAACCGCTATCTAAAGTCCCAATTAAAAAAAAAAAGATAATTTTATTTAAATTTTAAAATCCAAAATTTTTTCCTGATAATTTGTACCTGATAGACCACAATTTTAGGGTATATATCAAATTAATCCAACAAAATCCAACCAGCATACAATATATATTCACAAAATCATAGAAAAACAATTCAAAATTTGACAAATTAAACTAAAATTTGCATGAAACAAAATTGGTACATATACATCAAATAATTGAAATGATTAAAAAAATCCCTAAGAGTTTATGGTGTTGATTTTGTCCTTCAAAAATGTATGGTAGAAATATGCACACCATTCCTTTTGTAGCTGTTCAATTCTAAGGTCCAAAAAGGTAGCAAAGCGAGATTCTGGAAAATACTGCAAATATAGATAGAAAAGAATCACAAAAGTTAAATACCAAATTAGATAAATAATGGCAATACATTATTCTTTCATATAAACATAACCATAATGCAAAAATGGTTCTCTGGAATAGTAGTTTGTCCATGCTGCAGTGCATCTCCAATGAACAAGGCTACGTAATATCCACAGTCATCTGAGTTCATTTGCTTTGGACACTTTGTAGACCAAAAAACATAAAGATAATTTAGAATAACCGCCAAGTGAAATAAGCATGTATGAAAACATGAATTGGGGTGCACTTCATACCTGTACACAATGGCAGATCTTGACCATTGATCTTGGGGATGAATAATAAATTATTAATAAATAATAAATAAATATAAAAGGAAGAAAGAAGATGAAAGGGTAAAAGGATAAAATTGTAAATATATACTTAAATATATTAAATGATCATTAAGTATGAGGGAACAAAATTATAAATTATATGAGAGTTACAAAACTAAAGAGGGACTGGGAGAATAAAATTATAAATATACAAGTAAATATATTAAATTTTCATTAAGTTTGGGGGCCAAAATCATAAATTATATGGGAGTTATAAAACTTTTGGGGGGGGTCACGACCCCTCAGCTCCCAAGAAGATCCGCCACTGCCTATACACTGACCTATCTTATGTGATTCATCTTTGTCTTTGGCATTTGAAACCTCCTTTAAGCTCTATATGCAAGTAGGACACTGAAATAGCAAGAAGTTAATATAAATATTTTACCGTATTGGATATTCACATGCAAAAGAGTCATATGAGTTTACTTACTTATTAAAAACGTTGAGCATATGTGTTTTGTGCTTATAGTGACGACATAATGAATCAAAATAATACAATGTGTCATCTCGAGTATTGATAGCAATTAGAATCCAATGCAAACTAAAATTATTGAACACAATACAAAGTGAGGAATAAAAAGATATAATCTTCCAACCTCCAGTAGGCAGTTCTTTGGCAAACGGTTTACCAAAATTCGTTTTAACATGTTCTACCTCTTCAAAGATTTCATCTCTAGTTTTCAAATAGGGACATATTCGCTTTTCAATATCTTTATTAAATGCCTTTTTCATTCTTCTAAAAGGATTATTACGTGGCAACCACCTCCGATGACCCATAAAAACATTCTTATGACAATTATTAAGTCTAATATAATCAGTATTATTACAACATACAGGACATGCACATTGTCCTTTTATGCTATATCCAGAAAGATTTTCGTATGCAAGAAAATCATTAATTGTATCATATAACATAGCCCTAAGTGTTAATGTTTCTTCTTTGAACCTGTCATAGACCTCAACACTGCTATTCCACAACATCTTCAAATCTTCAATCAAAGGAGATAAATACACATCAATGTCATTACCAGGTTGTTTAGGACCAAAGATTAACAATGAAAACATCATGTATTTTCGCTTCATGCAAAGCCAGGGAGGTAAGTTATACAAAATTAGAATCACTGGCCATATGTTGTGCATGCTACATTGCATTCCATGAGGATTCATTCCATCAGTTGCTAATGCAAAACATATATTTCTTATTTCTGCTGCAAAGTCTTCATATTCATAATCACTTTTTTTTCCACTGAGGAGAATCTGTTGGATGCCTAAGCTTACCATCTATAATCCTACCTTTGAAATGTCAACTAAACTGCTTTGCAGTTTCAGGACTGCGAAAAAACCTTCTCAACCTTGGTATAATTGGAAAATACCACATAACCTTAGTTGATGTAGATTTTTTCTTGACATATCGTGACGCGTTACACTTTGGATATTCTGTAAACGATTCATACTCTTTTCGAAACAAAATACAGTCATTAGGAAATGCATGAATCTTTTCATGAGTTAAACCAATGGAACCAAGGATTTGCTTTGTATCATACGTTCTCCTAGGTAGGACATTGTCTTCTGATAGCATGTCATTTATTAAGCTTAACAGATCAGTAAAACCCTTATCACTCCATCCATGTGAGGCTTTT